AGAAAATATATTTCATCATTGATTTTAAAGTATAATATTAATCTGTGATAGAATTATATCTATCCACCTTCAAGGTAATCCAATCAATACTACTGTTATTCAAATCGAGGCACCAACCCCATAAAGAAGTGGAAGATTTCTGCTAACATCTTCAGTCTGAATTTCATCAAACATGGGACTAAAATGCATGGATGATTATTGGTGACTGTAATACAAAAGCTGGGAGCTAAATATGGTAAATATTGTAAATATGGTCTTGTTGATAGAAAGGAAGCTAGATATTGCATGATAGTATTTTGAAAAACAATGACTTGTTCTTAGCAAATAGCTTTTTATTTTCAACCTCATAAATGACGATTTTACATGTGAACAGATCCAGATGGAATAACCAAATATCAATTGACTACATCTATGGAAAAACTCAATATTAGCAGCTAAAACCAGGGCAGGAGCTAACTGTGGAACAGACGATCAGTTGTGCATGTGTAAGTTAGTATTGAAGCTGATAAAAATAAAAATAAGTCAATGAGAGCCAAAATATGTGCTTGAGTCTAACCCACCTGAAGTTCAAGAGCATCACAAGAACAGATCTGATGCGTTGAGCACCGGTGACAGGACACCTGCTGAGCTGTGGGGTGACATCAAGACCATCATGGCAACAGCTCATGTAAAAGACCAGACAGAAAGGAAAGACCGTATGTCAGATGTCCTTGAACCTGTGTACCTGTGCAGGGCGGGTGTACTCTGAAGTTAAGGCACATGGCAGAAATGAGGAGGTCAAAGATGGACATCACGGAGCCACTGGAAGGAGGAAGAGCTTCAGCAAGATGGGTTCACACCGTGGCTGCATCCATGGTTCCAGCAGAGGAATCGGTGTGAGGAAGGCAGAGGCCCGGCAGTGTTTCCTTGGGTTGCACACAGGGGCTGTGAGTCAGAAGAGCCTGGACAGCTCCTAAAAACAACACCTCCAGTACACCACTGGACAGAGTTAAGGTGGGAGCAAGACTCGACTTTAGGAGAAGATGTGAACCAAGCCACACCCTTGTTCCTTGGGGCCTGTCCAGAGTACCTGGTCTACTAAGAGGGTGTGAACCATACCCCTCCCACCCTCTGGTTCCCAGGGACACCTTTAAGTTAATGGACAGTGCTAAAATGGGATTAACACCTGGCTTTAGCAGAGGCTGTGAACCAGGCCTTGTTGCTTGGGGGCGTGTTCAGGCTACCTCAGTGGAGGGTGTAAACCACATCTCAGCCTCTGTTTCCTGGGGACACCTTTACATAAAGCAGCCTCCTTTGTTTTCCTGGCAGGGAGTAGAAGATGCTGGGGCCACTCTACTGTGCTAAAACCACACCTCCATTTCCTGAGAGAGCTTTGCAGACACGAGAAGATCTGCTGTGCTCTGTGGACATTCTTGGCCTTCTGGCTCAGGGCCCTGAACTTGGCTCACGTGCACTCGGGGACTGAACAGCACTCACCACCACCACCACCACGTGACACATGGCCTTGAAGTTTGGTGAGTGTCCGTGAACCTAGCAAATCCAAGAACTCAGGTGTGAGGAAGGAAAGGGGCTAGGGTGGGGCCATCGAGCAGAAGAGCATCTTGGAAGAGTTGGCTCTGTGGGACATCTTGATTTTCCAGCTCTTTGGGAAGATTGCTGTTATGGGCGGGCCGCCTGGTTCCACCTTATTTGCATCGCAGAAGGCTCACCTCCTGGCCCTTTGCCATCCTCGCAATTGTTGTTTGGTTGGAGCCCATTGTTGCAGCCACAGTGAGAACCAATCTTCTCAAAGAAATTAGTACCACCCAAGGTTAACACTCAGAAGGCAACCTTGTCTTTCTTTAAATCAGAAAGCTGGGTTCCTAAAAACAGCCAGCCAACCACAATACCCTTGAATTCATTGTGAATTTAATGAAAATACATTAGAATCCCCAATGCAGAACCCTGCATCATGCCAAAAGTTACCCTGCTCACTACATATTCCAGAAAATCCTTACAAACCAAAGTTAAAACCCTGCCTATTTAATTGGAATCTTCACCAAGTAGAGAGGCCTCCTTATGAGAGCTCAGGAACGTGGGCACGGGCTCTTCCCGGGGCATTGGGTCTCCGGCCAGGACACAGGTGAGCCCACAGCACCCTCTTCTCCTGATTGTAGGCTTCCTCCCTTTCAGTCCAAGTCCCTACCTTGAAGCCTTTTCAGTTTCTTTTCTTTGACTATGCAGCACATGGTCCGGATTGCACAGGAAAGGCTTAGGGGCCTTTTAGAAAGGTCCTGAAATGAGAATGGTTGTGGAGATGCCTGTGTTAATGATTCCTGTGTTCCTGTTGTTTGTTCACGAGTTTTCCCTCTTGTGATTTCAAGTGCATGAGCTCACTTTAGAGCTGTGGATTATAAATTAAGGACAGAACGAATTGGTGCACGCAAGTC